ACGGAGAGAAGTTTTACACATGAGCACATATTGAGAAATTCCGAATAAATAAATAAAACCTCCTGGTGCACGTATAGACTCAGAGGTTATAGATGGAAACAGAACTTCATTATTTTTCTCTAACAGAGTACCATGAACAATTGGTATTTCTAATCTGTGGCTTATTTCTTAAAAACATCAAGTATAACAGCTTTCTAACGAGTAAATGTGTATGTCCAAATGAAATGAAAGAAGATAAAATGTACTTTATATTGGTTCTCTTCCAAACTGATTAGAAATGGCCCTTAACCTAGAAATTGTGAATTCTAAATATGAGTTCACTAAGAAAACTACAAAGGCCCTTGAAAGGCTAAACAGATTTACAAAACTATGGGAGATATATATATATGCATTTTATTTATATATCTGTTATAGTCATACATTTTTCTCTGGCTTACATATTTCTAACAAAATCACACACCACTTCCTCCGCAAACAGAGGGCTAAAAGCAGGCCCTGGGCCAACTCAGATAAACAGAGCCCCCCCTTGGGGAGGTTTGTCTGAGCTGGAGACTTCATTAGTGAAGCACCCCCTCACAGACAGCACTCCCAGTCTGGCCTGGGGGGTCCTAAGTGAAATGACTCTGTTGGTTTCAGCTCAATGCTTCAGGGAAGGGGTAAGGGGATCACCTAATTCAGTATTTGCCATGGCTGGCACCTAGGAGCTACACAAACTAAATTTAGATTACTCAATTCAGTTTCCTTAATCAGAAAAACAGGGCAAGTGGGTGTGGGCTCAAGGCAAGAGAAACAGTGACTGTGTGAGGCAAACAAATGATTACTCAGAGAAATCCCATCGGTTGTCCCACAATTGGTTTATACCAGAGGCCACCCAACCCAGGCCAATGTGACAGGCATTTTGACTCCCCCCTTAACCCCACACAGCCTAAAGCCCCCTGGTGGTGATGGACTTACTGGTGCATCTGCACTCACTTCTGAGAACCCACTATGAGCAAAGCAACTTAAAGGCTGGAAACAGCAAAACGAATCCAGACTGTCAAGTAGCTCATCACTTAGGAAACAAATGCAGTGTGTGCGGAGAGCCCATTGCATCAGGCACGCGGTAGGCACTGGGCCCGCAGCCATGAATTAGACCGTCTACTTTCATGGCGCTCACCTTCCAGAGGGCAAGGCAGGCAAGATACGCAGTATACTGTCAGATATACTGACACAGGGAAGAGAAGCTAGGACGAGAGGACTGAAAGCCTCTTAAAGAAGTAGTCAGCCTGCCCTGGCTTTCCCCCGCTGCAGTGTGCTAGGAACCACGAATAAAAATGTAAGAGGCCAAGGAATGGAGAGGCAGGGACTGCTGGTTTCTGCAGTGCAGTTGGACGTGGCCTCTCTGCAAAGGTGGCAGTAGACAGGGACCTGGGGGGAGTGAGGGAGGCTCTCTGTGCAGGGGCTTTGCAAGACACCTTTGAGACTCGAATTAGTTTCCCGGGGTTGCTGGAATAACGTGCCACAAACCAGGTGGCTAAAAACAACAGAAATTATTGTCTTCCGTTTGTGAAGTCCCAAATCAAGGTATCAACATGCTCCCTCTAAAATCTGTTGTTTTTGTCCTGGCCAGTTTGGCTCAGCACTTAGAGCGTTGGCCCTTGGACAAAAGTGTTTGGGTTCGATTTCAAGTCAAAGGCATGTACCTGGGTTGCAGGTTGGATCCCTAGCCCCTGTTGGGGTCGTACGGGAGGCAACCAATCGATTTGTCTCTCTCACATCAATGTTTCTCTCTCTTGCCTTCTCCCTCCTTCCCTCCCTTTCACTCTCTAAAAATCAATAGAGCCCTGGCCGGTTTGGCTCAGAAGTTAGAGTGTCAGCCCGTGGACCAAAGGGTCACAGGTTCAATTCTGGACCAGGGCACATGCCTCAGTTGTGGTTCAGTTCCCAGACCTGGTCAGGGTTGTGCGGGAGAAAACCAGTCAATGTATCTCTCCTGTGCATTTCTCTCTCTCTCCCACTCTACCTGAAGATAAATGAAAAAAAATATATTTCCAGGTGAGGATTATAAAAACACTCTACCTGAAGATAAATGAAAAAAATATATTTCCAGGTGAGGATTATAAAATTAAATTATTGTAAAAAATCAATTGAAAAATATCCACAGGTGAGAATTAACAAAAAAGTCTGTTGTTTTCATATTGTTTTCTTTTTTACCTGAGTGTTTTTTTTTATCCTCATCCACGGACATTTTTGCATTTATCCTCAGATAGAGAGGGAGGAAGAGAGAGAGAGAAACATCGACATCATAGACTGGTTGTCAGCCGCACAATTCCAACCGGGGCTGGGGACGAACTGTGACCGAGGTACGTGCCCTTAACGGGAACCGAACCCGGGACTCTCTGGTCCGTGGGCCGACACTCTAACCACTGAGCCGAATGAGCTAGGGCTTACCTGAGTGTTCTACGTTGCAGGAAGAACAGGCACAGCTATCCAACAGAACTTTTACCGGTCATCTACATAAAAATAAGGATCAAAACTAACCACTCATTCCTTCCTCATTTTTTTACAAAAGTAATTTCCAGAGAATTCATCACTCTCCTTGCTAATTTGTTCTTCCTAAATGCTAATAATTGAACTGTTTTTTCTCTTTTGCTTATGTCCACTCCTTTTTGATTTGTCTTCAAATGCAGAGTAAAGACCTTTGGATAAAGACAGGGATTCCAAAACATGGATATAATTGCACTCCCTCCCCTAGACCCAACTAAAATGTCAATAGATGTGTTGATGGAGGTGGTGATGTTTAGGGAAAAGAAAAGAATAGGGAAAAAAGAAAAGGGAACCACAGCAACATAACTGTGGAAGCTGGAAAGGAGATGGATAAATGGTTCATGATTTGGCAGACCCAAGAAAACCGAATGCTAAGCTGGTCCTCAGATAAGCACCATCCAGATCTACATGACAGAGTCACTGTGGTTCAGGGTGGGCAGTAACAGGGATCTCTGGAGGTGGGGATGAAAGAGAAGAGATGCTAGAATAAGATGATTGCTAGAATAAGATGATTGGAAACCGGATAAAAATGCAGTCAGATTACCTGGGCTTTCCCCACTGCAGGAGCGATGGCCCCCACCCACCCAGCGCAGGCTGGAGCTTCGCTTCCTGGAGAGGAGACAGGGCTCTGGACTGAAGGTACCAGGCACAGTTCAGAGAACCACTGAAAAGAAGTAGACTTACCAAAGGTGCAGAGACCCATCCCTCTTCTCCTTTTCCCCCCATAGGAACTGGGAAGGATCTGGAATCCAATCGACCCAAGAAGAAAGACCTAAGGACATTGAGATCGGGGCCTCCCTGACAAAAAGGCCCCAGCAGCTCACCCAAGAGGTGCACGACCCACGCTTTGAGCACTTTCATCTCCTACTCGGAACTCTCAGCAGACAACCAAGCACCACCTGACATCAGGGAGAGCCTCCAACAAGAACACAGACCCAAACAAACAGTAAAAACCAACAAGGAGAAAAGTGGATGTGGCCATGGCTGCAGGGCATTGCGGAGGGAAAGTGAATGCGTGTCACTTGAATGGCGACAGGACTAGCCCCCCGTCTGTGGTGTATCAACGAAAAGGCCCACATCAGGAACAGGCTGCAGGGAGCAGAGGTGAGAAATAAAAGCCCAGTGGGAGGAGGCTGCCCGGAGAGCAGGGGCTCAGGACCAGCGAGTCTGTGGGCTGGAAACTCGGCAGGGACGTGGGAAAGGTTGACACCTGGCCCACGACAACCACACACTGGGGATTGAAAGCCCACCTGTGTGAGGTCTGCTGCTCACCGGGCTCAGTTCACTGGCTGAAGTCACCATGACCTTGACTCCCTTACCCCACCTAATCGCAAGCTCTCCCTCAGTATTTAAAACTCTCAATTAATTTGCACAAATAAAATGTAGGATCATTGAATCTAACCCTATCACCTAAATTCTGACCAAATGAATTGCCTACTTGAATCCAATTACAGCTCATCCACATTCTTATATTTTTTCTCCCCTTTATTGATTTTTTTTTTAATCCTCACCCGAGGACTCTTTTCCATTTTTTGTTCAGATAGAGTGGGAGGGAGAGAGAGATAGAAACATCAACATAAAAGGAACACATCAAGTGGTTGCCACCCACACAGCCCAACCAGGGCCGGGGACAAACTGCAACTGAGGTACGTGCCCTTAGCGGGAACCAAACGCAGGTCTCTCTGGACTGCAGGCCGACCCACTAACCGCCAAGCGAAACTGGCCAGGGCACCCTTTCTTGATTTTAGAGAGAGCAAGTGAGAGGGAGAGAGACAGAAACATCTATGAGAGAGAATATCGACTGCCGCCTCCTGCATGCCCCACACTGGCGATTTGGCCCACAATCTCAGCATGTATCCTGACCGGGAACCAATCTGGTGACCTCTTGGTGCATGGGTCAACGCTCAACCACTGAAGCACACTAGCCGGACTTCATGAGTATTTTTTATTTAAAGCTAGGCTGGTGTGGGTCAGTGGTTGGGCTTTGACCCATGAACCAAGGAGTCACAGGTTTGATTCGTGGTCAAGGCACATGCTGGGTTGTGGGCCCAAACCCAAGTGGGGGGAATGCAGGAGGTGGTTTATAGATGTTCTATCTCATCAATGTCTCTAACTCTCTCTCCCGATCCTTTGCTCTCTCTCTAAAAAATATCAGTAAAAATACAGGCCAAATATACTACAAAAGCCTCATTTCCATCTGTCATTTCACTTATTGCAAAGTAAGATATAATCTAATGTGTTAAAAATAACACAAAAAAGTTTAACAGAAATGTAAATTAGGACCCACACCTAAGTTTTAAAAATCATTCTATTTCACTACCATCTAATGTTAGTAATAACTACTAAATATAGCAATATCTAATCTGGCATCATTAAAATTATACACACATGAAAAATAAAAAGATAAGAAATGCAAACACATGAGCTAATGTGAGACAGAGATGTTCAGCTTTTAAAATAATTAAACCAGCAAAGAGTTTTAACATGTATCCATTTATTGATTGCTGGGAATACAGCTGAGAATACATGACAGGCATTTTGGAGGATAAATTACCAAATCTGAAACAAAGCCATTCAAAAAGCCTTCTGGGAGTTAATCAGGGATAAGGGAGTACAGATTAGATATGAGGGTGAACGGCTCAGTCACTTACACTTGTCATTAAGATCTGGCTGCAAATTCTTTGGAACTGATTTATTCTTAAATAGTTAGCAGCTACCAGGGAAGAGGGAAGATCAATTTGCCTTTACTGTAAATAATGCTAGGAAGGATGCTATTCACTGAACTACTGGAAAAAATTTCTTCCTCCTCAAATTAAGGCAATTTCACGTTTTACAAATTCTTCCGTATCAGTGCGTGTGTCTCAGAATTATAAGCAGCTATACAGATTTAGAAACGATGAATAGCTGATACAAGAGACTATTCATTTGATTCCAGTACCTACTGTTGAATTATAGTCTATTCTAAGACTAGCAAATTTTTACACCGTGGTGTCAATCTTCCCAAGATGCTTAACTCATTGATACATTAAAATGATACAAATTAAAGAATTTCAGTTATATTTAAAAGGACAGAGGTTAAGTAAGCAGAATGTGTTGGATCAAAATGAAAACTGTTTAATTATATATATGGTGCAAAAATTATAACCTACAATTAGATAAAATGTGTTCATATCAGCAGAGTTACCTGCCACGTATTTCTCCCAAATTTTGTAAAGGATATTTCTTCTAAAATGACATTAATGTCACCCTATGTCCCAGTGTTCTGGATTGCTATCTGTGCCAGCGGGAATAGAAAGCAAAGAGAAAACAGAACCCGCTATGTCCCCGTGAAATGAAGGAGGGAAGATCTTGGCTTTTGTTCTTCGGAAGGAGGCACTCTGTTGCTCTCAGGAACTGCGTTCCTGCCTTTGGCTTCGGGAGGAATCGGTTACGGCCGGCAGCGCTGGACAAAGCGAGGGTATAAGCACACATCTCGGATGTGGTACCTGTTCAGAATCCAGGTTAAGAATCGTTCCAAGCCCAGGCCATATCCTCCATGAGGACAGGTGCCATATTTTCTCTGTTTAAAAGAGACAGAAATATGCTTAGCTTACCTTTTTTCTTAAAATAGTTACAATTTTCTACTGTGAAATGAGTTAGCTTATTGTGGTTAAGAATTCAACCCTTAATCCATATGCCTTCATGGACCACGTGTGAAGAAATATGCAAAATAAATCAGGGATTAAGTAACACCTTGCAAAGAAGAGAGTTCAAACTTTTAAACTAAGTCAGAAGTCTCTGGTTATAAGACGAAACTGAAAATAGCACAAGACACTGGATCGAATGACAAAATTTAAAAAACGTGCTCAGCAAGGCCAGCAGTTAAACAGAGTTTCATATGAGGTTACCACATTATTAGCAAAAAACAAAATTAGCAGTAGTCCCATGACACATTATTATAACCATGAAGCTGAATGCTGAATACAGCTCTTCAAATGACAGAGTCACACCCTGAATACTCTCCTTTGAAATTTCAATGTATACAAAACTATTACAATGAAAACATTTCAGAGTATTTCAAAAATGGTTTTTACCTGATCTGTGTACCAGTAATAGGGGGTGGGGTCAATTTCTTCCCTTTTATAACCTGCCAGTATTTCTTCACTATCCCAGATACGCATCGAGCCTCCCACAATCTCACCAACATTGGGCATCAACACGTCGACCTTTAAAAACAAGTCAATCACATGTACTTACCACCAGGCTATCAGTCATGGCATTGCTCTAGAGTTTAAATGAAAATCACAATTAAGCTCCTATAGCGATAGGAGTACTATGATCAGGCAAAATTCAAACGTTATCAAAATTCTATAATTTACAAGGTATGTTAAGCCCTAATAGAGGGCAAAAACTTCTTAAAATACTGACATTCTAGATTTATAAGGAAATATTTGCAGTGAGCTCTCCCCAGTGACAGTCCCCACCCCCCTGAAAAGCAAAATAACTGATACAATTGGAATCACAACTGACCGATTCGGTGAGGCGGGCATCCTCGGGACAGCGCTGCATATAGAAGGACTTGATCTCCACAGGAAACCGACACAGCAAGATGGGCTCATTAATGGTGTCTGTCATCAGTCTCTCAGGGGCTTCTGGGATATCCTGAGGTGAAACGAGTCTTCATGAACATGAACAGCTCGCAGTGCAAGACACAGAAGCAGCTCTTTCACCCAGCAGCTGCCCTTCATCTTCTTCATGCAACACAGGAGGTGATGCACCCCCACCAGAACCCATACACGCAGGCCAAAGGGACAATTCCTCTCTCAAACATATCAATATATTAAAAACTCACAGGTATTAGTAAATGAACTGTAAAAAGGTCTGCCTCCTTCTACAGTATATCACACGTGCCCCACTGCTTACAGAATGAACCCTCAAAAACAAAGACATCCCCCAAGTCATTATCACTGTGACAAGATACTGCAGTCATTTTGTCAGTGGCCAGTTTCATCTCGCTCTGAAGCACACGTGGCCCACTGTGTCCCACACAGCATGAGATCATCTGTGAATGCTCCCACACCACTGATGTACACAGTGTATGTTATTAAGAACAACAATCTTTAAACTCTCCTGGTATCTGCACTTCTTTCCTATAATAATAAATATATATGCCTACAATGCTAGTAAGGCACAGTAATTAGACAAATAACCAATGTCAAACTTTATGTATAACCACACCTGGAATAGTTAGAGAAGAATCGTTAGATGGATGATGATGAATCTGTTTCTCTCTCAAAACATTCTTCAGTGAATCACACATAAATTCCAGTAAAAACTCTTGTCCCAGTAAAAACTGATGAAAGAACTGGACAAGACTCATTGATTTGTTTAATGCAGGAACTGAAATGGAGCTCAGCAATCAGCTGGCCCTGCTATTTGAGCCCTGTGCTCGCTAAAGTACAGTTAGGAGATGCCATGGCTGGTCTGGCTCAGCGGTTAGAGCATCAGCCCGTGGTCCAAAACCCGGCCAAGGGGCACATACCTTGGTTGCAGTGTGTCCCCAGTCCTCCCACTCTATCTGAAGATATTTGAAAAAATATCCTTGGGTGAGGATTAAACAATAAATAAAGTACAGGTAGGAGATGGGAGGTGAGTGGGAGACCTCTACTATCTCAGCTTTTGTCTATTTTGCATAGTAGAGTTCTGCATAAGATTTAATTGGGGAAAAAGTCTTATTGCATATTCCAAAAATCTGAGACCGCATATCTACTCTAGAGTCCTCATGTGTATAGGTGTAGAGTAAGGGGTAGAGTAAGGGCTGACATGCTCCAAGGGCTCCCTGGGCCAGGGACCGTGCTAAGCATTTTGCTCATTGAGTCCTCACAACATTGCAAAGTGGATGTTACCGCCACAGCAGATAAGGAACCAGACAGCAGGGTACTGGCCTTCAGTTATACAGCAGTAAGGACAGAGGTGGGAGCTAAGCCCACCTAGGGGGCCTTCTTACTCCAAAGCTCGTACTCTTTCCACTCAATCACACCACTTTGCTAAGTATTAGATAAAATAACAGTTCCCAAGTTTTCAGTAAAAATTCTACTACACATCATCAACTGAATTCATGAAACAAAAGGAGTAATTTATATAGGTCAAGTCTACAGTTTGTTCTGTTTTTCCTTCTAAAAACAAAAAACCTCTAGGTAGCAGTAGTTCATTTTATCTGTAGATTGGGTTTGCAAATACTATCTAAGGAATGGTTAAAGGCACAGGGAAAGGACTTAGAATCGTGTTAACAATCTATACCCCTGCCCTGGCAGATGAGATGGTTAGAACACCGTCCCAATTCCACAAGGTTGAGGGTTTGATCCCTGCTCAGGGCACGTACAAGAATCACCCAATGAATGCATAAATAAAAGGCACAACAAATCAATGTTTCTTTTTCTCTCTCAAATCAGTAAATAAAAATTTAAAAAACAAAAACAATCAACATCCCCTATTCATACTAGTAGGGTGGCTACAGGCAAAACAGATCCACACTCAGTTTATCTGGGGCACAGGACACCTTCCCTATCAAAGCATCTCTTAGTTTTGCATTTTAACCAAAGGCCGTTTACTTCTTTGAATTCCTTCCACATGAAGGAGTTCTGACTTACTGCTTTGGGGGGAGGACTCCTTTTGGAAAGAACCAGATACTTTTTCCAGACAAATAAAACAAATATATACACACGCCAACATTTTGCATGTAATTTTACAGTTCACAACTTTCTGAAGCATACTGCCAGCCTACAAAATTACAACCAGAGCTCATGATTGATCACGGAAGAAGAGAAAAGAGGCGAAGGATGAGTTGTGAAGGCTAAAAACTTGCTAATATTTATGGAACACTACAGAAAGGCACTGTTCTAAGGCTTAGTCTACATCTTCAAGTCAATGCATCCTCAGCCAACCCCAGGAAGGTCTGTCACCATTTATTTGTCAGCAAGCAGATGCCTCCTGCATCTCTGATTAATTAAGCAGAAGTAGCAATCCACTTAAGCACAATGCTGCCTTTGAAACAATCAGCAAGGAATACATACCTCTCCAAATTCATAGAAAGTTCCATCTTCTTTCTTTATATTGTGTTCTTTTAGCCACATAATAGCATCTGAATAGTTCATTCGTTTGAAAGGCCGTTTTGGGGGCTTGAAGTTCTACAGTAGAAGGAAAAATACAGTGTATGTAAGAAACCATTAACACTAAAATTTCCATTTTAAGGAAAACTACTTAGCTGGCCTGTGTGGCTCAGGGGATTGAGCTCTGTCGCAGGGACTGAGAGGTTCCGATTCGATTCCAGGTCAGGGCACATGCCCGAGTTTCAGGCTCGATCCCCTGTGGGGGTGTACAGGAGGCAGCCGATGGATGTTTTTTCTGTAACATCAATTTTTCTATCTCTCTTTAAAAAAATCAATAAAAACATATTTAAAAAGCCCTGGCCGGTTTTGCTCAGTGGTTAGAGGGTCGGCCTGCGGACCAGAGACCCGGGTTCGGTTCCTGCTAATGGTACAAACCTCGGTTGCAGTTTGTCCTCGGCCTCAGTTGGGGTCATGTGGGTAGCAACCAATCGATGTGTCTCTCTCACGTTGATGTTTCTCTCTCCCTCTCTGCCTGAAGATAAATGCAAAAATGTGCTCAGGTGAGGATAAAAAAAAATTAAAAAATAAAAAAACAACAAAAAAACATATTAAAAAAAGTTCACCAACTCATTTAATCTACAAATACCGAGGGTGAAAACTTCATTTCCTTCCAAGGAAGAATCATAATTTTGTATTTCCATAAAACACTAGACTTACCGGGTTAAGTTCATACACTATGCTTGCTGCAGGTGATTTCAAGACTCTATCAACCACGTCACAAACCAAGTCCTCCAATCGGTTCAGGAGGTCCTCAAAGGTCAGGAAAGGGCACTCTGCCTCCACATGGGTGTATCTGAAAGGGAGACACTACCTCAGAGCTGCTCTTCGTTTCGACTAAGTTTCTCTCGAGCAAGGATTTTAACACTGGGATACTGTCCAGAAAAGTAAAATCCCATCCTTGCTAAACACCCCCAATTCTGCATATTAGTCTTAGGCCACACACCTACCTTTCCTATTTAAATAATGAATTTTTGGCCCACAGGTGTGGCTCAGTGGATGGAGCGTCCTCCCAGGGACTGAGAGGTCTAGGTTCCATTCCCAGTCAGGGCACGTGCCCAGGTTTCGGGCTCAATCCCCAGTAGGGGGCGCTCAGGAGGCAGTCGATCAATGTTCCTCTCTTACATCCATGTTTCAATCTCTCTCCCTTCCTCTCTGTCTAAACAAACCAATAAAGAAATAATAAAGTACATACCATTTAAAAAATAAAATAAATAAATAATGAACTTTTGTTTATTCCTTAACACAGAAAGAATCAAGGTAAGTCTAAGGAAGGCCTCAGCTATATGGCTTAAGAAGCAACACTTCTTACATGGTTTCAATTAAATTAATCAACTGTCCTTCATCTATCCTCTGAATATACCAACAGACATACAGACATCTTCTGCCTACATAGATTGTTGTCCAAACATATTTTCTTTAAACACTTTTTAAAATAAAAATACAATTCATACTCAGCCAGGTGCCTTCGTGTTCTGGATTGTTCTGCCCTGTATGACTGTGCGATACAGAAAACATCTCCCAGAGCCGGAATGCAGGTCTCCAGGTACAACTGAGAGGACTGGGTCAAAAAGGCCTCTTCCCCAAAATAGTCAAGCTTGAAGAGCGTAGCGCCACCTTCCACTTGTGTTTGCACTAATGTTGGAGGAGTAACCTGTGCAGATGAGAGGGGTCAAGAAGGCCTATTGTGAGCACCTCCATTCAGGCATGAGAACGGCAAAGGGTATCACGGCGGAAGGTGACGAGTGCACTTACTTCACAGTACCCCCTGTCAAAGAAGTGATCTCTGAAGCACCTGGTGACCATGGAACGTGCTTTCAGGATTTTGGACATGTTTTCTCCTCGGATCATCATGTGTCTGTTGTTGAGCTGGACGTCTACGTCAGACTCCTCGTTGATCAAGTTATCAGCTCCTCCAGCAGGGGCCAACCCGATCAGTTCCCAGAAGTCACAAATCAGCTCATGGCCTCCAGGGGCCTACATTTTTTAACAGGGAGGGAGAATGAAAGGGAAGGAGAAGGGAACAAAAATTTACAGCAGTAAGGACTGTAAATTACGTCAAAAAGTAATACATTCCAGTCTTTCTGACTCCACCTTGCTCCAACCTGCCCAGTTCCCAGAAATGGGGGTTAGAATCTTCTGCTTAGTGATGCACATAGATATGCTAATCGGTCAAGGATCTAACCTGTAGGCTAGGAGTTACTGAAACAACCTCCCTGCTCACCACTGTCCCCAAGGAGATAAGGAAGGCATGTACAAAAATAATGACTGTTCACTGAAAGACTGATAGGAACCTCATGACTGGGACCAGGACAACCGCAGTCTGTTGAACAAAGCAAACAAGTTTCACCACCCTCCTTGGACCCTTGCTGGCGTCTACATGTCTGCAGTCATCAATCACCTCTTGACCTGAAATACCTCCCATTTTCATCTGAATTCTGTACTTTCTCAAGGTGGTTCTTTAGGACGCTAGTCCACCATCGCCTCAGCGTGCTGGCTTTCTAAATAAAGTCGCTTTCCTCACTCCAACTCCTTGTCACTCAACTTATTGGCTGTTGTACAATAAGCTGATACTTCTAAGAACCTCATCAATTAGCCTACCCTTCTAACAGGCCCAGTAATTCAATTTTACATTGATATAGTTAATATTCCTTTTTGAGTAAATATACATACATGTTTTTTAAAAATCAGAAAGCACAAACTAAAAAATAAAGTAATCCCACAACTTGGAGCAACTACTAACTAGTAGTAACATTTTGGTTTATCTTTCTACCCTTTGCCAACAATTTAAAATACCACAGTACTATCTGGCTGGTGTTGCTCAGTGGTTAAGCATTGATTCCCGGTTAGAGCACATGCCCATGTTGTGGGCCAAATCCCCTATGGGGGCATATCGAAGGCGGCCAATCACTGTTCTCTCTCTCTAAAATCAATAAAGAAAAAAAAATTTTAAATACCACAATACTCACATTGCAAAACTCCTTAAATGTAAAGATTTTACTAAAAGCTTTCTCTTTGGAACATATGTATAGTAAAATTCAAATTCTCCCTGATAATTCCATTAAAAGCAATTCATTTTAAAAGCCACATGTCACAGAATATATAATTATCTTGGTGCCAAACACTGGACAGCAAGTAACATCACAATAGCCACTCCACTTACCAATCACATTAATTCCAAGGAAAATCCAGGGAATTTAGATCAGATGCTTATTCTGAACATAGGTGCTTTTGCATGAATTCTGACTCTTTTTATCAATATTTCTAGCCTATTAGGTAGACTCCAAGAGCCCCTTCTGATGATTAATAGCACCTTTGTTTTTTTTCTTTCCCAGCCAACGAATACAACCACAGTAGTAATTATCTGAGCAACAATCACCAGCAAGTAACTGTAACTGGTACAGGTTATGTGCCTGTTGGCCAGGGAACAAACATTTCTCTGAATTCACATCAGACTTATATTTGATTTTTTTTGGTACGTGCCCCTAGCGGGAACCGAACCTGGGACTCTCTGGTCCGCAGGCCCATGCTCCAACCACTGAGCCAAACCGGCCAGGGCTTAAATTTGATTTTTTAAAAAGAGGTTTACAAATTTTATTTTTTTATCCTCACCCGAGGACATTTTTCCATTTTTTGTTCAGATAGAGCGGGAGGGAGAGAGAGGAAGAGAGAGAGAGAGAAACATCGATGTGAAGGGACACATCGAGTGGCTGCCACCCGCACGACCAACCAGGGCCGGGGACAAACTGCAACAGAGGTACATGCCCTTAGCGGGAACCGAACCCGGGTCTCTCCGGACCGCAGGCCGACGCTCTAACCGCTGAGCCAAACCGGCCAGGGCTAAATTTGATTTTTTAAAAAGAGGTTTACAAATTCCATTCAGATATTTTCAGATTTAGATTACTGTTTTTTGCTGAAATTTCTGAGACAAGTGTTAAGTTTTTATTTCCACCTAGCTGAAAAATTATTCACACAAGCCACAGCAAAGTGGCTGCATTATGGCCCATGAGGACTATTGAGAAATTCTGTAAGGCTGCAAATCCCTGAGTTTGTTACAGCTATGAGCTGTACAGTGGGATTTCACCAGAATAAAAACGGCACACTACATTTAATAAGTGCATCATATTTGTGTATTTATATGCCAAGTACCAAACGTACAAATAAAGCCTTAGAAAATAAACAAACACCAATGCACCGAGCCAGAAACTCAGTCCACTCACCTGCTTGCCCTCTGGGGTGAGGCTTAGCATTCCGTACACTGCAACACTACTCTCAGTGGACAAGACCACTCCATTGTAACACTGACACTATAAAAGATCAAGGTGAGATTTAGTTATTCATATTTACGTTGAAATATTCTAATGTACTGAGAGCAAAGGGGATTATTTACAAACAGGTTATCTGGTCCAAAACTAGTAAAATAAGATGGCCACCAATTTTTAGTATCAATAACAAATAGCTATTCTTATAAAAGGTTTCTCTCTATATAAATATACAAATATATGTAAAGAAATACTTTACATACTTACATGGGCATAAATGACAGAAGCCCACATCTCTTAAAAATATCTGAAAAGTAAGCCCGACCAGTGTTGCTCAGTGGTTAAGCATCGACCCATGCACCAAGAGGTCGCTGGTCAGGGAACATGCCTTGGTTGTGGGCCACATCCCATTAGGGGCATGTGGGAGGCGGCCAATCGATGTTCTCTCTCATTGATGTTTCTATCTCTCTCCCTCTACCTTCTCTCTCTAAAAATCAATAAAGAAAAAAATTAAAAATAAAATCTGAAAAGTTCATTTTTCTTTTTCTTTGTAATTGAGAATGTTAAAATAGTACACAGAATCCATCTAAGCTATGATCATCAATACTTGCTGAAATTATTAGAAGAAAAGTGATGGGGAACTTTATAATGGAGGGATCAGGCTATCAATATTTGAGTCCACAAGTCATAATAAAAACCCAACCAGACATATATTCTTCATAATGATGACCTGGAAGAACACATCTTTGCCCATTAAATAGTGATGCCTCCACCCTCTACACAAAATCTGATTAGACCTAACCTCCAGCTTACACTATACCTCAGGAGGCAATTGACCAAATCTAGACTGTGAGAAGTTCCATAGGACAAGCTACCAGATTTATTCCAACAAATAAATGTTTTCCATAATAACCATTTAAAATATGTATAAAGATCCCAAAATTCCCCAAACTAAGAATAAAGGAACCTACTAAAAAAATCAAAATTTTAGCCACAAATAAGAGAAAATATTTACCAAATTATCTGACAAGACACACTGGAGATACCCTGTACCATCTCGCAACACCAGAAACATCAAATTCTTTCCTAAAAGTGAGAAAGAGAAATGTATTGCAAGTTCACACTGCCAAGTGGTCCCCTTCCTCTGAAGTGTCCACTGGTTATATCACTACTCAGTATTTGCTCTTTGTTTTTTATTCCTCACCCAAGGATACTTCCCTACTCATCATCAGATAGAGTGGGAGGGAGGGAGCAAGAGAAAGACAGAGAGAAACATCAGTGTGATAGAGCCACATCAACTGGTTACCTCCTGCACGACCCAACCAGGGTGGGGGACAAACCGCAACTGAGGTAAGTGCCTGTGGCCGGAATCAAACCCAAGGCTCTTTGGTCTGCAGGCCGACACTCTAACTGCTGAGCCAAATTGGCCAGGGCACTACAGTCGCCCCTCACCACTTTGCGCTTTGACTTTTGTGGCTTCACTCTATTGTGGTGTTTTGAAATACATTCATTAAAAAGTTGATCGAGACAGTGAAAATGATACAGCGCGCGCTCGGCTGTCTGAATCAATTATACACCCCTGTATTACAATTAAAGTTAAAATCACTGTACGTATGGACTGTAGGCCTATGTATTTGAACACCCCAGGAATCCTCTAACGCCAGGTGCAACTGCTAATCTGGAATGGATTAACCTCGATAAATGAGGGACGACTGTACTCAGTGTTTGTGAAGCATGTGATCTTCATTGTGCTTCAAATCCAGCATGATCCACACGATCTACATGATCATGGGAAAGCAAGACAGTAAGCAACCTGAGATGACGGATTATGTCCTACCATCCACTATCCCTGGCAATGCTGACTGGAACTGTGCACTCAGTGGGAGGTGCAGGAATACTGTGGCACAGAATCATTTTTGCTTATTTATGTCCATTTAAAAAAAAATGAGTCCTGGCTGGTTTGGCTCAGCAGTTGGAGCGTCAGCCTACGGACCAGAGAGTCCAGGTTCGGTTCCTGCTAGGGGCAGGTACCAAATAAATAAATTAATTTAATTAAAAAAAATCCTCACTTGAGGGTATGTTTTTAGAGAGAGAGAGAGTGAAACATCAATGTGAGAGAGAAACCAATCAGTTGCCTCCTCTACCCACTGTGACCAGGGATCAAACCCCCAACCTAGTATGTGCTCTGACCGGGAATTGACGCGCATCCATTAGGTGCATGGGACAACACACCAAACAAGCCACCTGGCCAGGGCAAATGTCCCATTACTCTTCACAAATGACTTGATAAGCACTTACAATAAAACACGTGTAATAAATAAAAAGAGAAAAAGAAAGCAAAACACTAGGACTCAGAAAAAAGCAAAATGCAATGATATGAATTATAAGTGTCACCGCTACTGCCGTAAGTAAGCTTCAGCTTTGGCTCTCCACCTTCTGCTCTTCATGAAAGAATTCAGTTCAATTAGATAAACATGTAGGATACCTTCTGATCACTGTGATCAATTACAGTTAAATAGCATTTAAATAATTCTTTAACTTTTAATAGTCATATTAAATAAGAACACATTTAGGATATAAATCACTATCTCCTTTAAAAGCTAGCATGCAGCCCTGGCCGGTTTGGCTCAGCGGTTGGAGCGTTCGCCTGTGGACCAGAGAGTTCCGGGTTCGGTTCCCGCTAGGGGCATATTACAACAACAACAAAAAAAGCTAGCATGCAAAAATCAAAACACCCCCAAGTAAATATTTTTACATTACTCTTCATCCAAGACCAGGGATATTTAAAAATAAAAGAGAGAGCACATGGCCAGTGTGGCCCAGTGGTTGAGCGCCGACCCATGCACCGAGGTTCGACCCATGGTTCGAAAACCGGTCAGGTCACATGCCTGGGTTGTGGGCCCGATCCCCAGTAGTGGGCATGCAGAAGGCAGCCAATCGATGTTCTCTCTCATCAATGTTTCTCTCTCTCTGCCTCTCTTCTCCTCTCTCACTAAAAAATAATGAATAAATAAAAGAGAAAAAAGGAATGCTATGGCATTTACCTTGTCTACGCAGCCTGTGGACCCAGCCAAACACCTTTACTCTTTGGCCTCTGTATCCTTCTAATGCATGAATCTTCACCTGTCAAAGTAAAACAAATAACATTTAACCAACAGTGTCATTTATCACACATCAACTTTTTTTCTTTATTGATTTTAGAGAGAGAGGAAGAGAGAAGTAGAGAGAGATAGAAACATTGATGAGAGAGAGCATCAATTGGCCGCCTCCTGCATGCCCCCACTGGGGATTTGGCGCACAACCTGGGCATGTGCCCTGACCGGAAACCAAACCAGTAACCTCTTGGTGCATGGGTCTACGCTCAACCACTGAGACATACCGGCCAGGCCCCACATCAATTTTTCACTAATATTAGATGGCAGTAAAGTATTAAAAATTCACTTATGGTGCTAAACTACAGATTAGTTACTCTACTGCAGGTCAGAAACAAAAAATTTCAGCATACTGAGTGCTTAAAAAAAAATCTGACTCTTCTTTCTCTTACTGCAAAACCAACAAAGAGAAACACGCTGAATTGTACAGGTCTGGCTATAGAAAATCAATGAGTAAATGAATTCACAGCAACAACAAGCGAAGTCCACACAGAACCTTTCCCTGACCTCACAGTCCCTCCAGACACTCTGGGAGGCGGAAGTTAAGAAAGGCTAGCTAGCTTTTTGTTTGGGGGATCAAGGAGAGAGAAGATGAGTAAAGGGGCTGGTGAACACGCCAAGAAAACAGCTTCATTGCTAAGGAAACAGGGCAAATATGACAATTCATCAACAACCAGAACCATCTGAAATCTAAGCATGCCCACTCACAGTCCAGCATTCTGTTCTAGAAACAATAGAGCAGAAAGCAATTTCATAAAATCACAAAACTTTGTATATACTTAAAAAATCAGGACAATCATGGGTTTCCATGTCTTCGTTTCACAGTGAGCGAGCGGACACAGGGAGGGGAAGATCACCAGACCAACAGCACGCAGCACAGCCAGGCTGGATCCTCGGGCTGCCAGTTTGCGATCGAGCCAGAATTCGTTCAACTTCATAAGAAAATGAACCCCAACAAGAACCACCAACCTCAAAACTCTGAAACATTGCTTCTCTCTTCCCTTCTAAAAGGAAAGACAGACAATACAAAGGAACAAACCACCGAGCAGCCCCACGATACTGAAACAACAGTTCGACGTGTTTGCAAAAATACATGTCACTCTTACACTTTTTGGCTTGGGAAGACTTGGGTCGTTTTCGATGGTAATCTTCTTTGCTTCTTCCAGGTTCTTTTCTCTTCTCAAATTGTCTTCTGCCTAATTTGAATGACAGAGCAAGTTGTTAACTTGGTTGCTAGTGTTCCAGCATTTCAAATGTTCACAGCTGCAAATTCATTGCTCACGTCTTTCTTTTCCCGGGATTCATTCTTCATTTGCTCCCTGTGCCACATTTTCCTGATGTTCTTCATCTGTGATTTAGAAATCACATCCCACCGCTGGAGAGGAAAACAGGTATTTAATTCTTCAAGACCTCTGTGTTCTGATGGAAATTTATTCAGAAAATAAAATGCTGTCAAGTCTTTGGGTCACCGTACCTCATTTTCTTTTTGGGAATCTACGTAAATGGTAGGAAATGGCTCTTTTCCCACTGTCATCAAAGCCTTGGGTGGGAGAGAGAAAAAGAAAATGCCTTAACATTGTACAATACTTGAGATCAAAATAACACCGTAATTATGGGGCAACTTCATCCATCTACAACATAATCAAGAGACAAGCAGAGCCATAAAGAACCCATGACTCAAAACTCAATGTTGATAGAATGACTGCTTGAAGTACTCAGAACATTTTGCTTAGCCCTCAGGTCCTTTTGCAACAATTCTAGCAAGTGCAGTTACATAGTATAGAGTTCCCTGCACAAGCCCACTAGAAGCAACAGATGTTAAGTGGCATAAGGACCAGAGGGAGGTATGCTGACAATAGGAGACAGCTAATAGCAAAAGCCAATTACAGATCACATCTATATGATTAATCCTCGCCAAGAAACACGTAAGTCAATTCTGAAACTCTAGGAACAAAGTACTTTGAAAAATTACCGTAGGTAGAATACCTCTTTCTCTAACATTGGGACACAGCAGGTATTTAATATTTTATAGCTTGTATTTTTATAAAATAAATAGGTGAAAATATGTAAAAGATAGCTGTTTTATTAACTGCTTCAAATATTCCTTCAAATTTTCTCCCAAGTTATTAAGTCAGCCAAAAAATGGAATGAAGTATTGTCTCCAATCATAAGATCTGAAGCTTACAAAAAATGACCTTTTCTAAAGGTCTAGTTTCAAAATCTACAAAACACCTTTCATCTTGTTTTAATAGCAGTTCCAGTTCAATGAATGGTACACAGGAGGAAGAATCCTGGATCTTTTGAAAACATCCAAGAACTCAATTTTTTAACAATTAGACTTTGTAGGGAGATTTGCAAATCATTAGAAATTCACTTAATACCTGACAATCTCTACTGATTCCCTCCCTTTATATCACTGAACTTGAAGGAGCCAAACTCCCTGAATCAGAATGGCACACTTTTGCTAACTGCAACATTCTACAAACAGTCACCGAAATAGTGTTGTCAGTACGGGGAACCCAAGTCATACCAACAAACGAAGAGAAGATTTTCCCCCTAAGAGTTCAAAAGTAAGACCTATCTATTATACAACAAAGCATAACTAGAGAGAATTCTGCTGGGACAGGAACATTTGATAATAACCTAAGAAGTGTTTTGACATAGCTAACAAAAGGGGAATTGGCCAGGCCTGTGTAACTGAGAAAAAGTGATTATAATTTTGACAAGAATGAAAAAATTGGCCATTTAACCCATTGGGGAGACATAAAGACACCTTTTGAAAATATTCAAGTAAGTTTAGACTTAGATCTAATACCCTTAAAGCTACATATATCTATATACAATTTTTACTTTCTTTTTGTCTGAAAACGCTCCTCAAAACCTAGTGCTTGAAATAAGTCACTGACAAGTCACATGATAATTGACATAAGTCACTAATAAAGTCGATTTCATACGAGATGAGACACTACCTTTAGACCTGTTTTAAAAGGTTTCTCCTTGGTTCCATCACCTGTAGCATCATTTCCCTCTCGCTCAGAGACGTACAGCTCTGCTGTTTTACAAAACAAGATTACGTTACTTATGTGGGGAATAATTATCGGTCATCCCATATTTCAACTAGTTTATCCATTCTTTATCTCTGTAAACAGAACAAGCATCTGATTTACTGCAGTAAAAAATTGCCACAGTCCAAAAGATATTATTTTCCTACACCCCTATTGTAATGACATCCATCTTATAAAAACATACTAGTTACAAACTTAGCTTTTCAAAATAAGCTTTGATCACTTCCAGTTGGCCAGACCAGCCTGGAAACTTGGGATGTTGTACCTTAAAAGCAAGGGTCATACCGGAGAATTCCCTTAACCTTATTAAGGTTATTTCTTTGGCTATAAAATAGGTAAAACAAGCACCATCTTGAAGGGCTGTACCAAGGGCAAAATAAAATCACACATTCAAATGAGATAACCCAGTGCCAATGCACAGATGTCAAATAAACACCAGTTCCTCTCTGGTCTTTAAAGGAAACCTACACTCCGAGGTGAAACACTGCGGAAGGCCTCACGACTAGGAAATCTGGTGTCAACCCAGGCCTCGTTTTTCCTTTTCTGCTGCCCGGTACGGTCGGCCTGGAATCCCCAATACAAACGAGGTGGTCGGCCTGGAACCCCCAATACAAACGAGGTGGTCGGCCTGGAACCCCCAATACAAACGAGGTGGTCGGCCTGGAATCCCCAATACAAACGAGGCTCTGTGAGAGGATTAGAATTCTAAGGCCTCTTCCCCACGGTCACTCTGAAGAGTGGCACGTAGGAGGGCTGCCCTCGTGTCCCACAGGGCCCACTTCCGCGGAATCACGGGACTGGCGTGGGGGGCAGGGCGGGGAGCGGGGCCACACGAGGCCCGGGACACTCGGCCAGGAGGAAGCGGGGCGAGCCCAGCAGTCCCGCCGGGCCCGGCCCTCCCCGCCCTCCCCGGATCATTCACGTGGAAAGAGCGGCGGCGCGCCCACTGTGCACCAGGCCACCAGTCAGTGCCGGTGGCAGGCCCGGACCACGGCCCTGCGCAGGCGGGGGCACCTGCTACCTCCCCCCACCCCGGGTCCCGAGCCCCACTTACCTAGGACCATCCCCGCGGTCGCCGCGGTCACCTCCACGGGCATCTTCTCCCAACAGGGCGCGGGCTTGTCACTGCAAGGCGCACCAGCGGACCTCTGGACTCCAGTGTTGCATCATATGACCTCGTGCCTCGGTCGCCGCGATGAGTCATCCAAGCGTCGCGGCACCATTGGTTCTTGGAGGTTAGGGCACAAGGGCGAGCGAGGCTGTCGCCGCCATCTTTCAGCCTGGCAGAGACGATTTTCCTGCCAACAGTGCCCCGCCCTGCCTCTCTGGTTTCCCAAGCCCCGCCTCCCCTTGTTCTGCCCCGCCCCTCGAGGTCTGCCCTAGCCCCGCCTCCCGTCTCGCCTTGCCTAGTCTGTGGTACTGGAGTCCCCTGGTGCCCCTGGCTCTGGCCTCCCTAATGTCCAGATTCCTCTGGTGCATCAACCCGCTCCCTTCAGTCTCTACCGTCCTCCTTCGTACTTTCTGCGCTGAATTTTATAATTCTGCCCCCAGGTGCGGGTTCCAGGGCCCGCTGGGAAGGCAGACCCTGGATTGTGTTCCATATTGCTAGGTGTTGGCATGCTCATGGAATTAGTATCTTCTTAACCTAAACCTCAGTGGTTTTTCCTTGAGTCCGCTTGTCTGCACCTACTGGCCCAAATAAATGCATAAGCAGGAGTTTGCACTATATAGGAAGACAATTTGGTTTGCTATTGAATTGGCCCATACAGAGGCAGGAAGCTAATGCTCAAAACCACACTCTTGATGGCTGTAGGTTACAAATTATATGGGGTGAAATCAAGAGACAATGTGAGTTAGAGGTTCAGAGTCCTGCTGAGAGCTGACTGGTCCAAGGTGATGTAAGAGTAATGAATCATTTCTTCAGGCCTTGAGGACAACTCTTAGGTCCTTCCCTACGCCCCTCTGTCCGATCTCAAGGGAAAGTAACCAGGGGATTCTTCCACCTTAGGCCTCAGAATGAAACATAACTTAGGTCAAGATGTCATCTTTAGCCCCGCCAGAGTGACTCAGAGGTTGAGCATTAACCTATACACCAGGAGGTCCCCGGTTTGATTCCTGGTCAGTGGAAATGCCTGGCGGCAGCCAAACAACATCCTTCTCATCATGTTTCCATGTTTCTATCTCTCTCTCTCCCTCTCCCATCTTCTCTCTGAAATCAACTATATATATACATACACACACATACATATGTATATGTATACATATATGTGTATATGTATATGTGTGTGTGTGTGTGTGTGTGTATAAAGATGTTATCTTTAGCCTTCCAGAAGTCTTAACCTGGTGACCAATATTCAAGTTGGGGCTATTGTATCCTGCTGCCTTTGGATTGCTGATTATCTGGGGGAAAGGCTAGGTCTCTGAGGGGTATAGAGAGAAAGAGTGAGAGATGATTTTTAGATCTGAGATTAAAAATTAAATTTGATCAAAATCATAGGTACCCCCAATTTCTCTGTCATCAGATATATTGAGCACCAGGAATGAGGTGGGGTGGGGTTGGGGGTGAGAAACATAGATAAGAGTAGTCCTAGCTCACATTCATTGCCTGTTTTGAAATATGATACTTTAACTTTTTAACTTCAATTAATGAATATCATCTGTATTTAGGACTTGGACTATGGTATATTTTTATTTAAAGTTATAAAGATCATTAGAGAGAGGCCATAATAATGTGGAAAAAGCTAGGGCTTCAAACCTGGTTGGAATCCTGGTTCTGCCATTCAAGAACTGTGTGTCTTGGGATAAATTACATAACCTCGCTGAGCTTGAATTTTCCTATTTGTAAAAGATGATGTAAGTTCACTGCCCAGCAGCTAATAAGTACTAAATAAAGGGTAGCTAACATCATCATTCTCAACTTAGTGAAATACCAGAATTTGTCCTTGAGTCAAAGGAAAACATATTTTTCTTATAAAAGAAATCTAAAAATAACTCCATACATAGGTTCAGAGGTGATCAAGAATGTGAATCAAGAATGTTTCTTCAATATTTCACAGAATTTCCCCTTCCCTTTTTGCTGACTGTTTTCTGCTTGCCCACATATTGGTTATCTGCAAAGCAAATTACCCCAATCCACAGGAGTGTAAAACAATGAACATTTATACCTCACACAGTTCCCGAGAGTCAGGAGTTTGGTAGTGGTTTGGCTGGAGGTTCTGGCTCGGTCAAAAGGCCACAGTCAAGGTGTCAGCTGGGGGTGCAGTCATTGAAAGGGAAGATTAAGTCTCACCTGGGGTAGATCCTTTCCCTTGCTCGCTCAAGTGGGTATTGACAGGTTTCAGTTCCTTGTGGGCTGTTAGCCAGAGGTAACCCGCAGCTCCTTGCCATGTGGGTTCTCCACAAGGCAATGGAGGAGTTGTGTCCTCCGAGCAGTGAGGAAGAACTCCCCCAGGTTAATTTGAAGAGCGGTCATTACATCTGAGGCTCTGCTGACGATTTCTTGATTTATGAGGGTTTTGCTGTTGGAGCAGCTCAAGAAAGTATTTTCACCTGAAGCCACAAAATCCTAAGAAATAGCCCTGACTTGGACATACCCAGTTAATTGAAAAGAGCTCTTCTTGGTCCAAATTTACTTAAGATATTTTCAACAATGAACTCCCCCCCACCTTTATTGATTTTTAGAGAGGGAGAAAGTGAGAGGGAGAGAGAGAGAGAAACATCAATGAGACATAACATCGCATGGCTGCCTTCTGCACATTGTGTCCCCCCCCCACTGGGGATCGGACCCATAACCTGGGCATGTATCCTAGCCAGGAACCAAACCAGCAACCTCTTGGTGCATGGGCCCACATTCAACCACTAAGCCACTCCGGCCGGACCAATGATGAACTCTTGATGCAAATTTTCCAGAAACTTGAATCAAAATCTCTACCTTTAGAAATAGTCCTTAGTGTTACTTTATTAAACTCTTCAATGAGCATACATTTTCATGTTGATCACACAGAGCTTAAATAAGGAAGCTGAAGGCAGCTGGCAATCCCAAAGCTGAAGGTAACCGGAGACCTCCTACAGGATTTCCATAGGCTGGCTTATTCATTATGCACCTTGGCTCAGCAGAACCACTTTAGAATGAAACTGCAAGATGACTCCTGGTGGGCAAATCCACCTCTGTTCTAAGGGTTAATCACCTGGGAGAACTAATCTCTGATGAGAAATACTGGGGTAAAGAACCCTCCCATGTTGGCCTCACAAACCATATCCAGTATCTTTAATCCCTAGGTGGAAAAGAAATGGAGACATTCCGTGGCTTATGATAGCACTTCCAGATGACTCTGTTGTTTAAAAGTACCAGGAGCTAAAAGGAAAATTGGTCATCTCTTCAGCTGGGGATCCTAAACAGGTTGTCTGGAGTGAGTAGCCGATATCCTGAATTTGGTAGGAGCATCCTAGGTTTTTTAAATTTTTATTCATTTATTTATTTTTAAGTTATCTTTTTGTTGAATATATTACAGCTGTTCCCCCTTTTTTCCCCATTGACCCCCTCCTCCTGAATCCCACCCCCCTCTTGCCTTTCCCACACTATTTTCAGTGTCCATTGGTTATGCATATATACATACAAGTACTTTGGTTTATCTCATCTCGCCCTCTCCCCTCCTCCTTTCCTTTGAGGTTCATCAGTCTAACAACAATTTGTACCTCTTAATGCCTTCATCTTTTTCACCCATTCCCCCAGTCCCCACCCAGCTGGCAGGCAACAAAAAGTTCTCAGTATCTATGAGTCTCTTTCTGTTCTGCTTATTCATTTTATTTGTAGATTCAATTGTTGATAGATATGTATTAATTGTCATTTTATTGTTCATATTTTTCTTCTTCTCCTCCTCCAAGAAGACCTTTCAATATGTCAAATAATACTGGTTTGGTGGTGATGAACTTCTTTATTTTCTTGTCTGGAAAACTCTTGATATGTCCATTGATTCTAATATAGCTTTGCAGGATAGAGTAATCTTGGTTGGAGGTCGTTGTTTTTCATCACCTTGTATAACTCTTGCCACTCCTTTCGGGCCTGCAAAGTTTCTTTTGAGAAATCGGCTGACAGTCTTATGGCAGCTCTGCTGTAGGCAACAAACTGCTTTTCCCTTGTTGCTTTTACTATTTTCTCTTTGTCTTTAGCCTTTTGAATTTTGATGATGATGTGTCTCGGTGTGGACCTCTTTGGGTTTATCTTGTTTGGGACTTTCTGCGCTTCCTGGACTTGTATATCTGCTTCCTTCACCAAGTTAGGGAAATTTTTTTGTCATTTTTTTCAAATAGGTTTTCAATTTCTTGCCCTCTCTCTTCTCCTTCTGGCACCCCCTGATGCTAATGTTAGCATGCTTGAAGTTGTCCCAGAGGCTCCTTACACTATCCTCATTTTTTCAGATTCTTTTTTCTTTTTGCTGTTCTGACTGGGTGTTTTTTGCTTCCTTATATTCCAAATTGATGGTTTGCTTCTTGGGTTTACCTACTCTACTATTGATTCCCTGCAAATTTTTATTTCGGACTGGTTCTTTTTTATGTTGTTGATGTTCTCACTAAGTTCCTTGAATGTCTCACTAAGTTCCTTGAGCATCCTTATAACCAGTGTTTTGAACTCTGCATCTGATTGATTGCTTATCTCCATTTTGTTTAGTTCTTTTTCTGAAGTTTTGTTCTTTTCTTTCATTTGGGACATGTTTCTTTGTCTCTTCATTTTGGCTGCCTCCCCGTGACTGTTTCTATGTGTAGGCAGAGTTGCCGTGTCTCCTAGACTTAGTAGAGTGTGGCCTATTGTTATAGGTGTCCCGTAGGATCCACTGGCACAGCCTCCCTGATCAACCCAGCTGGGCCTTCCAGGTGCACTCCTAGTATGGACAGTACACTCTTCTGTTGTAATTGAGTCTTGATTGCTGTTAGCACATCAGTGGGAGGGATTTACGCAGGCTGATCAGCTGCAAGGACTGGCTGTGCCCACTGACCACTGGCCTCTGATTACCTTGGATGATCAGCTGTGTAGGGGCCACCACACAGAGCAAGACTTACTTCAGCAGGATGCTGGTACCTACTTAGTCTGCTCATTGAGTGTGTCACTTGTGGAGGTGATTGGGTAGTGGTGTTTCGATGTGGTCTGAAGATGTCCACTGAGTGTGCTGGCTCTGGGGCAAGGTCAGCCACTGTCTGTGTTCTATCCAGGGCCACCCGGGATAGTCTTCAGAGTGAT